ACCTCCTCAAGGGCAGCCACGCGCCGCACGGCGCCGGGAGGCCCTGAGCGACAAACGAAAAGAAAAACGGAGCGAAGGAAAGCTGGGGGGATGGAGACGAAAGCGTGTACGAGATATAGAGCAAAACCGAGCACGACCGATATGGCAAGGCGTTGGGGAGGAGGCAAAGGGATTGATATTTTTTTTTTGTCATCTTCGACGAGTATTTTTCCCTTTTCGGGCTCGACACGGCAGGACAGCATGGTTCTCGAACGGATGCACATGGCTGCGCCCGTGATAGCACGCCAGGTTCGCATTTGACACGGCACTGGCGTTGCGTCCTCATGAGTTTCTTTTTTTTTCTCTTTTTGAAACGAGGCTGGGCCCGGACCGGATTGGTACCTTAGACATGGCCCGATTGCATTCGCGCATTATATCCATTGTTTATTTTTTTCCCCAGGATTTTTGTTGTGTGCCTGCTACTTCGAGATGAATGTACGTATGAGCGGTCATTAGCATGGCCAGCATGGTGCGCGTGATTTGCCCAAGGTGAGACGAAGAGTGTGATGACCCCCCTCCTTGATGGCGACGAAAGAATTGATGGTCATCTGACGAGCATCACTTGACCGCCTCGCTCGCCCTTGGCCAGCGCGATACGCGATAGCAGCAGCACGAAGCTGGACACCACCAAGACGTCGAGAAGCGATAGCAAACCATTACTTAATTGCGCGTTTCGAGCGACAACAGAGAACAAGATTACGTAGCCCCCCCTCGCTGCCCTCGCTGCCCTCTCTGCCCGGAGGACCCGCGCGCGCAAAATGAATCGCCCTGTGCCGCGCTCTAGCCTGCACCTGCACTTAGGGGAAGACACCACTGCGCCCGGGGCGGGGCCTCGAACGCTGCCAGTCCCCTAAGTGCAGGTGCCCCGACTCCGTGTCCGCTAAGTGCAGGTGCTGCCGGGCTGGCCCCACTCTTCCCCTCCGTGCTTTCTCGAGAAGGCACAGAGGGTGGTCCGGGTGCGGAAGTCGCGAGGAATGCTGTCGCTTGCTCCGAGCCGAGCATTCTGGGGGGGGGGAAAGGGTAGATAAGGGGGTGCGTGTCGCTGGCAGCTTCCTTTTCGTCTCTCTTCTCTCTTTCTCCTCTCTCCCATCATCTTCTCTCGCTTCCATTTTTTCTTAGCTCCTTCGTAGCTTCCGCGGTGCTTCTTTGAGTTTGACACAAAACCCTAGACGCAAGACCAGCTCGTCCTCTGGCTTACCCTCACATACCTTACACACAACCCATTCTTCGCCGCCATGTCGCTGTGCACCTCCATGGTCAAGTCCAAGTTCCTCGACAAGCCTGAGGACATTGGCGTTGTCGTGGCTGGCTTCTCTGGTGGTCAGGTACGCCCAGCCCCTCCCCCCCCCTCGCTCGGTTCGATCCGAGTTTCTACCCCTCCCCCCACTCTGCCAACATACGCCTAACAAACTTGTCCTCTCTCAGCGCAAGGCAGGTGTCGACCATGGACCCCAGGCTCTCATCGACGCCGGTCTCCTGACGTCGCTGCGCTCCGAGCTGGGCTACACCCTCCACGGCGACGACAAGGTCCACTCGTACGAGGACATCATCCCCGCCGACGATGCGCCCGTCCGCAACATGAAGAACCCGCGAGCCGTCTCGGCCGTGACGGAGCGCATCGCTACCCAGGTCTACGAGCACGCGAGGGAGGGCCGCATGGTCCTCACGCTCGGCGGCGACCACAGCATCGCCGTCGGCACCATCGGCGGCTCGGCGCGCGCCACGCGTGAGCGTCTCGGCCGCGAAATCGCCGTCATCTGGGTCGACGCCCACGCCGACATCAACACGCCCGAGACGTCGGACAGCGGCAACATCCACGGCATGCCCGTGGCGTTTGTCACGGGCCTCGCCAAGGAGACGAAGCGCGACTGCTTCGGCTGGCTGAAGGACGAGAACATGCTGAGCCTCAAGAAGCTCGTGTACATTGGGCTGCGCGACGTCGACGCCGGCGAGAAGAGGATCCTGCGCGAGAACGGCGTCAAGGCGTTCAGCATGCACGACGTCGACCGCCACGGCATCGGCAAGGTCATGGACATGGCCCTCGCGCACATTGGCACCGACACGCCCATCCACCTGTCGTTTGACGTCGACGCCCTCGACCCCCAGTGGGCGCCCAGCACCGGCACGCCCGTGCGCGGCGGCCTGACGCTGCGCGAGGGCGACTACATCTGCGAGTGCGTGCACGAGACGGGCAGCCTCATCGCCGTCGACCTCGTCGAGGTCAACCCGGCGCTCGCCGACACGGAGATTGGCGCCGCCGAGACGATCAGGGCCGGCTGCTCCCTCGTGCGTTGCGCCCTGGGCGAGTCGCTGCTGTGAGCGTGCGGCACGTTGCACGGTGCAGTGCACGATGCATGGTGCAGTGCACGATGCTCGATGCACGGTAGCAGGAAGGGGGCGGTTGTGAGAGGAGCAAAAGTGCTGCGAATTATGACGAGGGACGGACACTGGTGTTTTGGGGGTTGTATCTATATATTGGCTGGGTGACCGGATTCTGACTTCTGGCGGATACTGCATGGGCGCTGTCTGCTTGGGGGATCCTCAGTCATGGCATGGATTAAGGCGCAGGCGGGTTTTGATGACTACCTTTTCTGTTTTTCTTTTCTTTTCTTATATCATTAGAGCTTAGAGTGGCGGAAGCACGATGATGAGCAATGGTTTTTGCCCACGTCCCCATCTTTCATCTTGCAAAGAATGCCATATGACGAGCCTAGTGATGCAGGTTGCGGGCGGGCCTGGGTCGACCAGGGCAGTGACGACCGCTGTGTTCGGTACCTACCTTAGCTGAGGTACGCCCTGGCCTCACCTCCTTCCACTGCAAGCCCCAGGGACAAGCGCTTTTCAGCACAGCAACCACGACCCAGCCCAGAACCCCAGCCATCCTCTTTCCCCGTCTGCCACTCCCCACCAACCTATCCTATCGTTCCGCCATCCGCCCCAGCCACCTTTTTTCACTGTTGAGGCGCAGCGTCACCTTGTAGCGTCCCAGTATGACGGATCGAATGGAAGGAAGAAAGAGCACATGGCTTTCCATCCTACCTACCTACATGACCCTCGGAGCATTCCAGAACAGCATTGATTCCAAAACACCATCAAAAATCAACGTTCGATTTGTCGTGATGCTTGGCTGAGTTACGACCCCCGACAGCAAACCCAACCGATCCTGGTACACCAACAACAGATCTTGGCATGACAACACACCATCGGAAAGCTTACATTCGCATCCCCCAGCAACCCCCCCTCTTATTACCCGCCGCCTTCCCCCCACCGCGCGTCGATCGGTCGCAACACCAGCTTGTCGCATCCCCCATCGTCGACGATTCTTCTAGACTCAGCATCTCAACGTTGCTCTCGACGTCAACGCCCCCGATCACGATAGACCGCTCGCTACACCCGACAGAAAGCGGCCCCTCTTGACGCCCGTTGTGGACCCTCTTCCCATCGAATCCGATCACAATTGGGCACACCCGCGTTGCGCCGACGCCCTCGTCCACCTGCCATTGACGTGGCCGTCCCTTGAGACAAACGGCGACGGGCAAAGTCCCAGTGCAACGCATCTGGGTGGATTAGTCCTGCGCGTTGCCGATTGGCACAGCTCTGCGTTGGGTTGCGACCACGACAGCCTCGCCTTTTCTTTTGCCCTTTCCTTGCTGGGGAAGCTCAGGCACGAAGGCCTCCCCCCTCGCCTGACGGATGAAATAAAAGGGCGTGCTCTGCCCATCCCCGACGAGTCTGCAATCTTTCCAAAACCGCCGCCCGACGCGATACACAAGGCCGCAGACCGCTGCCATGGCGTCCACAACAACCGACGGCTCGGCCGTCTACGAGCGACGGCTGGTCAAGACACATCGATACCAATGGCCCGGCATCCAGCTCAACCTCTGGATCCTCATCATGCTGATTGCCGCCGGCTTCATCATGGGCGCTTTCGCGACGTTTATTCAGATCCAGCAGCAGCTGCTGCTTCCCGTACCCTGGTACGTTTGTTCCCATGCTCGACGCGATGGGCTCCAGACGTCGGCTAACATGACGTGCCAGGTACTTTCCCTACTTTATCACCGTCGCGGCTCTGCTCGTCGTCTACGTCCTCCTCATACTCTGGCTCGTCTTCAACCAGCGCCTGCTGCCGGCCATTGTCATGATCGGCGCCTTTATGCTGTTCATCCTTTGGATGGTCGGACTCGTCGTGGTTGCCATTGAGCTGTTCGGTCCATCGGGCTCGGTGCAGGGCAACTGCAACATTGCCGTGTTTAGCCAGAACCCGACAGGCCAGACGTTGGAGACGCTCGCGTGGCTGCAGCAGAGGAATATCTGTGAGTGCCCCGGTGCCTGGTGGGAGAAACATGACGGAATACTAATATGTGTGTGTCAGGCCAAACATGGCAGGCAGTCTTCGCATTCAGCCTGGTGGGCGTCATCTTCCTCGTCTGGATCATGGTCATGGCCTACCAGGTCTTTGTGGAGTCATGACACGCGTCGTGACTTTGGCTTTCGATCGAACAACACGAAGGGTGCCGAATGAATGGGCGTCTTCTGCAGCTGTGCACATGGTTATGATATACGTCTTTTTCTGCATTTTCTTCTTCTTTCTGCTGTTATTTTTGGACATGTATGAGCGTGCTGGCGAGAGTGGGAGGCAACGGGGGCCAAATGCCCAGGAACCAGAGGGACGGCGTTTGGGGCATGAGTCTGTTTGGGGCATGAGTCTGCTTTAAAGCTGTTGGGGCAGCCCGCTTGTTGAGCGAGGGATCAGTCTACTTTGCCTGGGTAATTTGAGGACTCTGAATACGTCGTCAACGTCTCCAGATGATGGGAAGCCTCAGATGATGGTGACAGTCACCCCTCCATTCATTCCTAACCCCCACCTTGAATCTGGTTCACGATCTCCACCCTGCGTCATGGGCCACATTCCAGTCGAGCTCGTCCCAGACTAGGCACGTCACCGAACGGTACCCCGCCTCATGAGCCGTGTCCATGCATCGTCACCCACTCTCACTCGTGCCGCCCGAAGCTCATCCAGCCGCGCCAAGCCGTTGCCGGCCGCTGCCGCGCCAAGAGGGTGCCGTCCAACCCGGGGAGAGGATGCCGTGTCACGGTCGCACGTCCAAACCGGTTTTCCGCCCGCTGCGTCTGGAACAACTCAACGTCAGGAGGCTTTCTTCTTCGTGCTCTCCTTCGAGGACGCCCATGCCGGCGAGCCGCGCGTCGGCGTCGGCGTCGCCCCCGCCTTCATGCCGCCCTGTCCCGCCGCCGGGCTCCTGGGCAGTGCGGGGGCAAACAGAGGGTGATGGGGCCGCCAGCGCAGCGACGCGAGCGTTGCCGTGACGTAGAGGGGCTCCGCTGGTGCCTGTGTTGATCTGAGGTTGCGTCATGGGGGTGTGTTGCTGTTATATAAGGCTGACTTTGGCTGTTGCGCTGTTGCGCTGTGTGCACTTCAAGATAGACAGCACATGACAGCAGATCTTTCGACAGACCGAACATCAAAGGGCATCCTCTCAAGACAATTCGTTACAACAGCATAACAGACAAACGCCAGAATGGACAAGATCAAGCAAGCTGCCTCCAGCCTCGGCGGTTCCGGCCATAAGGAGGTCAACACCCAGGGCGGCGCTGGCAAGCAGGACTACGTCGACAAGGGTAAGCCGTCCTCCCCCTTCGCGTCAGCTCATTCATTCCACCCGATCGACGTCTCGAGCTGTTTGGCATGTGGCCTTGCGTGCTGACCTGCGTACAGCCTTTGACGCCGGCGTCAAGAAGTCGGGCCACAGCATGGACCGCAACACGCAGGAGAAGGTCACCGATGCCGGGCGCGGCATGTTTGAGAAGCAGACTGGCAAGAATGTGCCGCACAACGTGTCCAACTAGATTGACCCGAGTTGTCATGGGGCGGTTTGGCTAGCTTGTAGACTGTTATAATCATGAGAGATGAGTTTTGACGGTACTGCAACCATTTGACTGCTGCACTGCTGGAGGTGTCATGATCTGACATTCTCATGCCATGCTACTCAGTAGATTGTTCTCGTTGGCCTTTGACGCCCCCAATACCTCCGTGCTGACCATGGGTGACGAGCTGGACCCCTGCGCTCGGGGCATATCAGGGGCCCGACCCGAAGCCATGCAAATTGGACGACGCCGTGTATTGGCAGACCGCCTCACCCCCCGCGCGGCTGTCTCCAAGGCTTCCTTCGTCCGGTGGGTTCGAGCACAGCAATGGTGGGTTCAGGCGCTGCGACGGTGGGTTCAATGGTGGGTTCCCGGTCCCTGTCTACATGTACCCCTGAAAAGCATCTCGACGTCGGCGACGAGCTGGGCCCCGAAAGCTCCGAAGTCAGCCCTACGCTCCCTTGGCTCCCCTCGAGAAGGGGGATCCGCGGTTTCGCAAACGTTTTCGTATAGCCCACGACACAGCGAATGCCGGCCATGGCGCCACGTCTTGGCCTGACTCGCGCCTTGGACTGCCGCGTCTAAGCCTCGCGGTATGCAACTCTCTTCCGACAGACCGGGCAGCCCGGCCGGGCTCCGAAAAAAAGGGTCCCTTTGCTTCGTGTGTCTTGCCAGGTTCGTGTATCTGTCATGCTGAGCGTCAGACGGCTGGGTTCTTCAAGTACACCTGGTAGCGACAGTGACTGGGAACACACGGCGTTCTTGCTTTCCCTCCTTCGCATTTTGGACAGCCAGAAGAGAATATCTCGTATCCTGTTGCGAACCGCGCATTCTGTGACTGAAACTGACACCCCAGTCATCCATCCCATCGTCACATACTCCTGGACTTGTTCCTGCATATCCGCTCGCCTGCCCCCTTTTGTCCATGACTAACCACATGGCGCCGAGACGAACACACACCAAGTCCAGAAAAGGCTGCCAAGAGTGTAAGAGACGCAAAGTCAAGGCACGTCCTCGTACAACGCCCGGCGGGGCGCCTCGCACCACACGCCCACTGACATGGCCAGCAGTGCGATGAGGGAACGCCGGCCTGCTTCAACTGTGCTCGTAGGGGCATGATATGCAGCCTCTCCACCGCGGCATCAGCCCCGGCTACTTCCCCCGACAGCTGTTCCCTCTCCGACAGCGACCGCCGCCGGACATCGGGTGCCGCCGGTCTTCCCGGCACCGCCGGCCCCGGCCTGTTGAGCGTCGAGCTCGCTCACCCCTGCCTGACCACCCGCCTCTCGATCGCCGAGACGTGGGGCCAGGGTCTCGAGCTCATGCACCACTACTGCACCGTCACGGCCCCGTCCATGGCCTACCGCCTCGACATGCAGCACGTCTGGCGGACCGTCCTCCCCGGCCTCGCCTACGCCAGCCCCTTTCTCATGCACGGCATCCTCGCCGCCGCCGCCATGCACAAGGCCCACCTCCTCCTGGCGCGCCGCCGCGCCTACGCCGACCTCGCCGTCTACCACCAGACGGCCGGCCTCGAGGGCTTCCGCGCCGCCCTGACCAAGCTCGACGCCGGCGCCACCGACTGGGAGCCCAGCTTCTGCTTCGCCGCCATCATGGTCCTCACCATGTGCTGGCAGCCCGCGGGGTCGCACGGCGAGGCCGGCGACGGCCAGCCCGTCGCCCTGACGCCCGGCGCCCTCGATCTCTTCGTCTTCATCCGCGGCGTCTGGGCCGTCATGGAGCCGTCCGAGGCCCAGATTCTCGACACGCCGCTGGCGCCGCTGGCTGGCCACGGCCTGTCCCATCGGCTCGATCCGAGCAGCTTCAAGTGAGTGGCCCGGCCTGCTGACCTGCCCCATCATGATCTTTTCCCTCCAATCTCGTCACACCTCCACACCTAACCTTGCTGTTCGCATGTTGACCGTGAACAAACCGCGAAACAGCAAATCCACGCTGCGCTTCTCCATCCTGCCCGAAGACATGTTCGACGCCCTCGACGACACGTCGACCTTTTACGAGACGACCCTCGACGGCCCCAGCAGGCACGACTACGTCAACGCCGTGCACCTCCTGCGGCGCGCCGTGTGGCTGGTCGCCGGCGCCGGCGCGCAGCCCGAGTCGCACATGGTCATGTTCATCCCCTACAAGGTCGAGGACGGCCTGCGGCTCGACATCGTCGCGTGCCGGCCGCACGCCATGGTCTTCCTGGCGCACTTTGCCGTGCTGCTGCGCGCGCTCGAGACGCGCTTCTGGTACTTTGGCGGGCTGGCGAAGCGTATGTTTGCCGTTGTCGACGAGAGCCTTGCGCGGTTTCCGGTGCATTTGCATGCGGTGCTGTGGCAGAGGAGGCATGTGTTTGAGAGCTACGAGTCATAGGGGCATGCGGTCGTAGAGAGCGTTCAACAGATGGGTGCAGCATGTAGAAATTAGCGTCTCATGATTTGTTGCGTTGAGCTGTCAAGTGTGCTTGCGAATTTTGAAGCTTCATGATCTTGTTGACGATGAGCCAGGGTTCATGCGGACCGGATCACAGTCAACCGCGCGCTGGTGACGCATGAGAAGAACACTCCCGTGGGCCAAGTTGAATGGGTGAACAGACTTATCACTGGCACGCACACTAGCTTGTCTACCATGAAATCTACCCTACGCATAGCCACAGTGATGAGTTGCCTCTCGGATGGCTTTGCGAGACCGCGGAAGCCGCAGCGTTGGGCGAGTCATACAACCAACTAGACTCTTGTCTCGCGTCCATGCTTCGTCAATCCATCGTATCTCGCTCGCATCTCTCGCAAGACTACAGAACAGACGCGTCAACCCCATGCAAGTGCCATGCTGCTGAATCGGCAATGTCTTCGCCCTTCGAATATCGGGCTCAGGAAGGACGGGCTCCCGGGGGCTTAGTTCTCCAGGGCAATGATCCATGGAGGAGGACCCGCCTGCTGAGAGATGAATGTCAACTGCCCCTGACTATATATTTGGGATTCCCTCGTGTAGTTCACCGGCACGTATGTCCACAGTATCGTCGTTTCAAACCATTTTGTAATCTACAGTACAGCCTTCTGTTCTTCGTCTTGACTGCCGCCATCAAACATCACGAACGTTGAACATTCGGCCCCTTCAGAAACCGCTATTCGAGACGCCCAACTCACTCAAAAGTTCTCCTTCGTCTATCCGATGCAAAGTTTCAGTATGATACTCACCCGCGCAGAGCTGCTCCCCTACAAGGAGGGCATTTACCTCTGGAAATATGTGCCGTCACTGGCACTCAGCATCATCTTTCTTTCCATCTTTGGCATTCTCTCTCTCGCCCATACGTGGAGGATGTTCCAACACCGCTTGTGGTTTTGCCTGCCGTTTGTGGTTGGAGGCTATCGTGAGTATCTCATCGTTGTCGTGAGATGCCGTCCTCGGGACCCTATGTTGACAGAAGCGAACAGTCGAGGCCACCGGCTGCGTAGGCCGAGTCATAGCCCGAAACGACACCAGCGGGCTCATGCCCTACATCATCCAGTCCATCTTCCTCCTCGTCCCGCCCTCGCTCTTCGCCGCGAGCATCTACATGGTCCTCGGCCGCATCATCCGCGGTCTCGGCCCCCGCGCCGTGGCCCTCTCCATCATTCGCCCTACATGGCTCACCAAGGTATTCGTCGTCGGCGACATCTCCGCCTTTGTCATCCAGGCCGGCGGCGCCGGCATGACGACGAGTGCCACGCAGAAAGACCTGGGCAACACCACCGTCATCGTGGGCCTGTGTGTCCAGATAGCCTTCTTCGGCCTCTTCGTCCTGGCGGCCGTCATCTTCGACGTCAGGTACAGACGCGGCCGCGACGGCTTCAGCGCCGTCGACGCCGACACGGCGCAGCTGCGCGACGGGGCCGTCGCTGCCCGCCGCGAGCCGTTTGACTGGGCGAAGCTCATGATGATGCTGTACGCCACGTCGGCGCTGATCCTCGTGCGCTGCACGTTTCGCATCATCGAGTACATCATGGGCCCCGAGGGCTATCTCTTGTCCAACGAGTGGCCGCTTTTCGTGTTCGACCTGACGCTCATGGCGTTGGTATGGCCATTTTCTTTGTCTGGTATCCTTCCAAGATCAAGCCGTTTCCCGTGACCGACCCGGTCGGTTTTGAGCTTGCCACAGAGACGAAGAAGAAGCGCAGTCTTGTCGGAAGAAGGACCTCTGGAGGAGTGGTGTAGGGCCGCAGGACTATCTAGAGTTCCTTGACGGACTCGGTCCTATGGGCAATTTTGTATCAGGAGGACCGGCAATTATGACGAGGAATCCCCTGCTGTTTGGTGGGGCGAGCTGATAGGTCTATCAAGTTTGACTTGGGCTGTAGCTAGATGGCGGGGGAGATTTGGTTTGTTAGACTTCTTTGAACTACAGGCTGAGTTCAACAGTCCTTGATGATGTTGCCCCTGGCGAGCAACAGCGCGGCCAACCGCTCTTGTAGCTTGTCATGCTTGCCCATTACCCAATGTTGCAAATAAAGATCCGAAAGAATCAAAAGTGAGACGCAGACAAGCGCAGGGGTACATCACCGTATACAGCCCCTTTTAAGGCTACGTCAACAGACAATAGTTCACGCTTCCACCTGTAGAACGAATTCAATACACTTCAGATCCCACGTCACATCATATGCCGTGGCCCAGTCCGTGTATGCCGCTCAAGGTTTGCCTCGTCCGGCCCTTAGCGCCGTCGTGCCAGCCGCTTGACCAACCACGAGCGCGCCTCCCGAGACGGTGTCTCATCCGCCGAAGCCGGGGGCCCGCCAGACCTCTTGCGGCACGATCGTACCTTTTCTAACCCCATCGGACAGGGCAGTAGAGCTGTCAAGGGCAGGATTCCTGGAGGGTTGGCGTCATGGGTGCAATCCGACTTTCCGGGGCGTCTGGTTTCAGCAAGCATGGTGCTTCAGCATGACGACATGGAGTGTTGCGAAAAGGCATAAAACGACGACTGCCCGCAGGGTTGACCGGTTGGGGTCACGCCTATTCAACACTACAAAGTACAGCATTCAATCATCATCACACTCAAACTTCAACATGGACTTTATCAAGAAAGTAGCCAAGTCGGGCAGCGCTGACAAGGGCGCCGGCGGCGACCAGGCTGCTGCAGGCAACCAGGACTATGCCGACAAGGGTACTTGAAGGCATTCACACGCTGTGAGATTGACAGTTGAGCTAACAAGAGCTCTAGCCTTTGACTTTGCCAGCAAGAAGTCGGGACACAACATTGATCGCAACACACAAGAGAAGATCACGGATGGCGGACGATCTGCCTATGAGAAGGCGACGGGGTAAGTATTCAGCTGTGACAGAGGCGTTTGGTACACTGACTAACGGCGACACAGTTCCAAGGTGTCGGACAAGATCTCGAACTGAGGCGATTAGCAGTAGAGCCATAATTAAACATCTTCTCAACTGTTATGATTTGTCTCTAATTTGCCATGCAAACGTCCCATGCTGAGTTGCTGTACCATGTGACAACTAGAAGGACTACACTTTTAGAACAAGATCTGCCAAGAGATCCGACGCAGGGTCCAAACTAAGGTAGGTAATCCTGAGGATGCTAGGATCCCATCATTCGCGATACCATGAACACCACACAAGATCGTACAGTCGATCCTAGGCAAGCTGAAGGGGACAGCCCAAATAGATCCCGCACATGTTGCCATTGCCATGCCACCTGACGACAAAACGGCGGTCGTGATACCACCCACTCCCGGCTCAAACGGATCGTGGCCGTCGCGAGAGACAGCCAAGGTTCAGCTCGACAGCCTCTAGCGGCCCGCCCAGTTCGGCCTCTCCCCCACTCTCTATATCCACAGCCACCTGCAATCTGCCTCCTTCGGGGATCAGTGCTGTGCTGTACATGTACATGGTAGGGAATGCTGAGCTTCGGGCTTGCTGCAGCACTGCACCGCTACACGGGCTCCACCGGCCGCAGCAATCCCGCGTGCATCACGATCACGATGCCCTCAAATCTGCCACTCACAGCCGAGATGGCCCGACCTACCCCGCAGCGATTAAGCTTCGGATTCAGCTGACACCATCGCGACCTACCCCTCCTCGTCCCTGCTGTTCCCTGTTGTCCCTACTGTTCCCTGTTGTCCCTGCTCTTCCCTGTCGCTCCCTGATCTTCCCCTGCTCGTGGCCCCCCCTCCCCCCCCTGGCACATCCCGAGCTTCCCTGGCAGTGCTTGATGGCACACACACCAACGGGGAGAAGCTGGACCCTCCGTGCCGCCAGGTCTAGGACCCAGGACCCCTCCTCGTTGATATCCACCGTTCCGGTGGTGATGGGGGGGGCACCAACAACGGGCCCCTCCGTTCCCATCCTGCCTGGTTTTGGGAGGCCTGCCGTCTTTGGGACCTGGATGGACCCTCATTGAGCTACTGACTATTACCTGCGTGCCTTTTCTGTTTCGAGCTACCTGGGCTTGTCTGGCGTGAGGTGGTGAGTGGGTTGGCTATATAATCATCTCCCTCATCACCTTCCCCGCCATCATCCCTCTTCTGCCCACCTCGACACATCGCCATCAGCATCATCATCTACGACAAAAAAACCACCTTCACCCCAAAACCCAACACTCTTCTTCACAATGGATTTCCTCAAGAAGGCCGCCGAGTCCATCTCCAGCAGCAGCAACAACAACAACCAGCAGCAGCAGGGTAACAACAACAACAACAACAACGCCAGCGGCAGCACCCAGCAGCCCCAGCAGCAGCAGCAGACCGACGACTACGGCGACAAGGGTACGTTTCCTCACACATGGCTCTTCGGGCCACCCACCTGTCCTCGCCCCCCTCCACAGTCTCGTCCCAGCCGTGTCAAGCATCAGCCAACTGACTTCCACCCCCCGCAGCCTTCGCCGCCCTCGCCGCCAAGACCGGCTACTCCCTCGGCCGCGACACCCAGGAGAAGATCACCGACGCCGGCCGCGGCGCCTTTGAGAAGGCCTCTGGGTACGTCTCACCTCCTCCTTCCCAGGCCCGGGCATGACAGACCGGTCACGGGAAAGGAAGAACGAAAGAGCAAAGCTCGTGAACGCGAGACTAACAACCACAACAGCCAGAAGGTCCCCGAGAAGTTCTCCAACTAAAGCATCTCCTCGCTGGGCATGATGATGATGATGATGATGAAGAAGAGGCACGGGATAGATACGCTGTCGTAATGGATACCACTCTTGAAACCTCACTTTCGTTTACCGAGACTTTGCCCGTTGCCGTTGCCTTCTGAAGCTTCCTGCGACCTCGTGCCAAGCCATGACCAAAAAAAGCTGTCCGCAAGGATGCGTCCTGTCTGTAAGCGTACTGATCGGGCCGTCGCAACTTGGCGAAAAGGTACCCACAAGGCCGCAGGCCGCATTCGGCAGGTATGACGCTGGATTGCTCAGAGGCCGGCGGCGTGAATGCTCACCAGCGGCGTGGGCCCCCGTCAGAGACACCGTCACGGTTCATGCATCTGGAACTGGAATCTATTGCTGCCCTGGCCTTTGCATCCAAACGTCATCTACCATCGGTTCGGCGCGTCTGGTTGCATCAGTAGCATGAGCTCTTACTGTCACAGGGACAACTGTTGCTGCAGATGAGCATGGGTTCTTCTAATCTCTATCTGCAGAAAGGTAAACATCATGACGACAAAAAACCGGCCCTGCCAGACCGCAAACACCTCAGATGCCAAACGCCCGCCAAATCCATACATCGCACAATACGTGTCAACCCGAACTGCCGTCGTGCCGTGGCGCACAAACGGAAACCGTCCACGAAGAAATCCACGGCCATGAGGAACCAGCGCAGGTTGCCTCTATTACCGAACGCCATGTCGCAGTGTCTCTCCGTCCAGGTGCCTGGGTCATGTAGTGCTCCCTTGCCAGGATCATGCACACGCCTGAAGAAAAACAAAGCACCTCGAATGCTGTGCGGCCTCTCCGACTGGTGATAAAACGTCGTCTGTCGCTCCCATCGCAATTTGACGAACAGGCATCGTGAGCCTGTAATAGCACTCGACCCTCGTCCGCTCTTGCTTCCATTGCAAAAATGCCCTCTTCCGATACCAATATGTCTGCGAGTTCGACATGCGGCATGTCATTGGCAGATATAAGGCTGTCTGTTGCCGCCCATACGACCCGGTTGCGACGAGCCTCTCGCAATGCCTGTAGAAAGTGCAGCCACCTCATGACCGTGTGTCATCAACATTTGCAAAGTGAAGATGAGAAAAGGCCAGAAGGAGAAGTAGGGTCGCGACAACGGAACAGGCATTGGGCGTAGGAGCTCGTGGAGATCTGGCTCTCCGGGAAATGGTGTCGAAGCCCAGCCCCAAGTGATTCCGCATCCTCCACAGGAACGTCAGCGCCAGCGCCAGCGTTAACTTTTGCATCCTCGCTCCCGAGATTGCCGGCAGGCGCATCCTCCTAACCGCGGGTGTTGGCTGCGGTGGCAGAGGCTCCCTTCGGGTTGAGGTCAACGATGAAATCCCAGCCACCTGTTCAAGTCAGTCAGCAGAGGCTCACGGAGCTAGATGGGGAAGAGACATACCACTGGCAAGGTTCTCCGCTGTCGTCTCGAGCAGGATAATTCGGCGCTTGTTACAGTATGACGTCTTGTCGAGAATATCAACCTTGAGCTTGCGATCGGCGAGATCCGTAACGGGCTTTTCAAACATTTCCGAGAGAGCCTCCACCGCCATTTCAAGGTCCTTTTGGTTGTCCTCAAAGATGGCCGTCAGGTTGTTGCGCGCGAGATAGAAAGCAAAGGCGTAGGTCCACTTGAGTGTTTGGCGGCACGTTTGGAGCGTCTGGGACGCCGAGTTGAGATACTGGACCTCGATCCATGACATGCCAGACTCCTTCTGCAGCTGCACCATCTTCTTTTCCGTCTTGTGGTAAATGTCCTTGTCGAGCTTGGCCGACTGCTCGTGGTTCGCATAGCGGTTGTAGTAGTGGAGGTAGCGCTCTAGCGACACGCGTGACTTGGCCTGCGCATCACGGGCATCGGTGCCGCTCTTCTCTTCGAAGCGGTTGCAGTTGTACCAGCTCGTGCCGTGTTCGGACCACAGACCCATGCACATCCAGCAGAACTCGTGCTTGCACTTTCTGCACGTCATGTGGTTGCAGCCTCCATTCTTCTCGATGGTGCTGTTACAGCGGGGGCACTCCTTGGTGTTGGCCGAAATCCAGTTTGCCGTTTCCGAATCGTCCGCGCACTTCTTCAGCCACAGCTTGACCAGGCTGCAAGGGGCCGGCTGGTGATCAGTCAGGATGCAGCCGAAGCAGAACCGGTGGCCACAAGCGCAGGCCACCGTGGGGACTACCTTGTCGAGATCCTTCTTCTTGACGCCGCACTCAACGGCGTTGACACAGTCTGGTGCTGGGCACCACTTGAGAGCATCCTTGTCTTCCACATAGGTCCTGTTCAGCAGTTCCTTATACCGCCCGCTCAGTTCGGGTGTCACGAGGATGTCGAGCGACTTGGAATCGAGAATCCGGCCGCAACGGTCAGCGGGGCACTGGATGCGCGCCGCCTCGCCCTCCTCCCTGATCTTCTGGTTCAGGTAGTGTCGGTAGCAAGCGACGCAGTATCGGTGACCACATTTCATGGCGAATGTCTCAAGGCTGGCATCGTCCTCACAGCAAATGTCGCACATAAATCCGGGTATGACCTCGAGTCGTGGAGGGCCAGTTACGTTTGTGCCGAGTCCTGCCGCTTCGAGAACCTTGTTCGGCCTGTCCATGTAGTCCTCGATCAATCTCTCCTTGTTCCAGCGGAAGTGTCGTAACAAGATGGCCACATCTTCCTTGCGAAGGTTAAGGATCATGTTGACCTCGTCAATCATGTCATCTTGTTGTCGTTGAATGTCCGTAGGCTCATACACCTTGTAGGATATATCGTAGGCAACCTTCTTCTTGTTCTCGGTGTCTTGGTTTACGCCAAAGTCGGGGTCTTCTTCGTCAAACTCATCTTCAAAGTCTAAAGGCGGAAGAAGGTCAGCTACAGGCGGTCGAGATGCAAAGGGTTGGCTGGGGGCGGTCGGACGTACTTTCGTTGTCGTCGGAGAACTCCTGCATCTCCTCATCACTCGACATGGCAGACATGAAGTCTTCCTCGGAATCCATGCCGTTGGTGGCGGGTGTTGGCGGGGCTTGTGGTTGCAGCGTGGCAGCTGAGGCGATCCTCTTACTGGGGGGTGCTACAGCAGGCTGGGAGGGGATCGTCGCCTCAGCGGCCTTTCGCTTCCTCGTCGTGGGAGGAATGGTGGCGGCCGCGAGGGGTGTGATTGGGAACGGCGGGCGAGGGTGGAGTGTGGAAGGCGTGATGGGTAGCCCACAAGAAAACGGGCCAGAGATGATGCTATTCGACACAAAGACTTCCTAAGCCGTGGTCGAGGATTGAGGGGTTGTGTGACTCGAGCGGGGAGGCAAGCAAAGGCGAACCAAGTCCCAACGTCACTTGCTGGTAGAGTACTGCGTTGTTGCGCTGGCCAGGTTTTGATAGACAGGGACGAAGGGGGCGAAAGGCACTGTTGATATGCTTATGAATCGAGTTGGTGAAATAGGAGGATGCCGATGGAAGTTGAAGACCAGATCCAGGTTCAGATGGGGGAAGCAGTCGCGTTGGTGCCTCGTATGGTATCGATAAGGTGAGAGGCCCCGGGGCTCGGGTGTGGTGTCAAGGTGTGTCGGGTGCGGCTGGTGCGGCCTCAAATCAGGCTTGCCAGGCTGATGGCGGCCTATGGGCCAGTGGAGGCTCGAACCCAGCCGGTCGGGCACAGGGCGAATGACGCGGGAAGGGGGGCAAGGGGCGTCAGGCGATGCCGTGACTGGACAGCACAGGGGCAAGGGACATGTGACCCGCTTTGGAGACCCGGGGATACTTCGGGTGCAAGCATGGGCTTTCCTTTTGGTTCAGTCATGCATGGAAAGAGTGCCACCACCAGCCCTATGGCGGCGATACCGCTGATGCCTATCTACATACCTACCTTCCCTAGATAGCCGCTTGGGTAAGTATTTACGCAGGTGGTATCTCACCTCAACTTGGGCTGGCTCGGGCACTGATGCAGTGACGTTTGCATCGAGAAAAAACAACAGACAGGGACAGTAGTCGCTGTTCGTGGGCTTCATTGATTCATGGTTTCATTGACAACCCTTGCATGATGATAATTCAAAGTCCAACCAGCCGATCCTCCCTCCCTGCACGCCTAACTCCTACATGTAAAGCCATTGACTCCTGTCCATCGCAGAAAAGATGCTGTCCATCCGACAGACTTGGGTATAATACAAAATCCTTTCACTTCAACAAGACGCCCACTCCAAGACACATGCATGGCATCCTGCATTTGCGAACCGGCACAATACCAGTTCTCCGTCTATACGTGGGTGTCATCGCGTGTAGACACTCGGTTCATCTGTCTTCCAAGACTTGTTGTCCAGTCTTGGCCTCAAGCATACAAGAATCGTGAGAGGTTCAGGCTTGCGTTGCCGCTATCTTCGTCACCCACGATGCCGCCATGCTTGTCGTCGTCCAGGTCATTTTCCTCGTCGCTATCAGGGATCATGTCTTCACTACCCACTGGCCTATTGAGAGCCTCAACCTCATCAAGATCAACCTTGGGCAGAGGGACAAAAGAGGGATTGACAGGCAATGCCATGACGCCGGTTCGCTGGTTGCGCCTCTTAGGGCTAGCCTTTGGCGATCGAGGTCGGTTGTGCGTCATCTGTTTGCGGGAGAGGGCGCGCTCGCCAATGCGTTGTAGTGGCGTTAAATGTTGCTTCTTCAAAGCCTGGGTGATCGTGGGCTGGGTGGCAGATTGTGTCGCTGAAAAGGCAACAGAAGAGGCAGCAGTCGACGGTGCCCCAGTCGACGGTGTGAAGACAGATGCTGCTTGCGACCTGGCCGACGCCGGCGAGCCAGCAGTCGTGGCTGATCGTGTCTGGTTGTAGGCGAATGACTGTAGCGAACGAAGCGGAGTGCTTTTGGGTGGCTCAGGGACGAGGCTCTGGCCTTGGCTCTCATCCTGTGTTTCGACCACAAAGGACTCAACTGTGCTTGTTTGCGTGTTTGCAAGTTTGTCGTCCCGGGTGCTGAACTGGCTGTCCTTCGTGGTTGTTGCGTCCGAGGACTGTGATGGGGATTCCTCAAAAACGGTAATGGACCGTTGGGGTTTAGATGGTACTCGCCATCCGTCGATATCTGGTAGGTTCATCAAAGCCTCGTCGATAGAATCGTCCGAGAACAAGTACGAGTCCTTTCGCGCTGCCTTCTTCTCGATTTTGGGGAAAAACTTGCTCCGATGCCCAGCCTCAGGAGCACATTGGCCAGCATCCTTGTCGGAGCAGAGACGGGCCTTCTTGGGTGGGCCTTGCGTCGTTCCCATCATCAACGCATCAATCTCTGCAGCAGTCGTGGGAGGGATGATAGAGCTCTGGCGACGAGAGGATTCGGAAGAACTGCTGCTGGCTCGCGAAAGCAGAGCCCCCGCCGGTTCGCTGCGTCTGCGCAATGCTCTTGGAGACGTTGAAGTGGTGGCAGACTGCACTCGCCGGGTGCTGGGAGCAGCAGCACGAGTTGTAGCCTCGTCGAGGTACGGTCGAGGCAACGGGAAAACGCGGGGCACAAGGCCGTTCTGGGTGAGTGCAGCGACTCGCTGCGGGTCGACAGAGAAGCAGTTGGGATCCATGGCGCCCATGGGTATCCGCCCACGGCTTTTGAAATAGGAGTCAATCGGCTTCGCCGGCGTGTTGCTCCCGGTACGAGAGGCTGCCATCGCAGCTGTCGAGGCGGTAGGGGAGGCTGTAGGGCGAGCAACCGTTTGAGAGTGGCGACGCTTCGACTCGGGCATCGCAGCAGGGATGATGGGCATCTTGGTCATTGGGTTCAGATCTCCAGTCGCTACACCCCTCGCAATGGTAGGCTCGACAAATGCGCCAATGAAGGGCATATCATTGACACCTTGTCCTTCCTCTGGCTCTGTCAAGAAAACAAGTTCCTTCTTCTTGGGACAGTAGACTCGTTGGTACAAGAATGTCAGCTCGGCCTTGGTAAAGTTGGCAAGATAGTCCTCCGACACACGATGCTTTGCTTCGAACTGCATCATGCGGACAAGACGTTCAGGTGTCTTGTGCTGTCGAACCATGCGGTATGCCGTCTTCAAGCCCATGTTACTAACACCGGCAAGATAATCGCAGCCGCTCAAGATGGCCATGCGTCGAAACTCGGCGTCCGTCCATCCAGTAAGGGAGATCTCTCGGCAGGCGGCAAAGTCACGGCGATTAATTTCGATGCAGTTGCCGTACTGGTCGAGCTTGGTCAACAGTCGCTTGCAGCCAAACACCAATAAATCAGAGTCTTCTGACAAGATGCCATCAATGATTCCTTGACGCTCGAGGTAGACGAGCTGCGAGTCGGCCTCGTATGGGGCCACGACGTACTCGACGTGGATCTTCTTCAGCTCATCGATGAGGTTGCGAGCCATCTCGGGGGTAACGTCAATGGATTTTTGAAATTCCGCAGAGGCCTGTGAATTTTTGCCGGCTTTCAGGAGTTCCAATCCCAGCTTCTTGCTGTCGTCTCTGCGTTTGGCACGAGAGCCTTCAGTCATCGCTTTGCTAGGGAGGAAGTCGCCGTCGAAGACAAGATAAGGCGTGACACCGAAATGGCGCAGCATGCGTACACGGTGCATGGCAAAGTCGACATATCTGTTACGATTGGATCAGCAAGGCGGAAAGGGTAAGGCGAGGAGTGGCGTGACTGACTTGCGGGTGGGCTTGCCTTGGGCCAGCTCAAGGGCACAGGCGATGGCCCCACGATGAAGCCAGCCATAGGCATCGACACCAAGCGTCTCGCCGGATAGCTTCTTCAGTTCAGTTGGTCTGTGGATTGACTTGAGTAAGGGAAGTAGTCCTGTGCCAGGTAAAAATTAGCATAGTTGGTCTCGAGGGTGTCTGATGCCTTGAGAAGCAGGGTTGAATGGTGCGGGGCCTGTATTACCAGAGACGCCCATTGTCACGATTGACAAGCCCAACAATGACGCAGTCGTATGTAGAATGGGCTATCAAAAGGACCGACGCCCAGTTGCGCAAGGCAAGCAAGCCTACAATGCACGAACAATAACCCAAAGATCCATCCGATGTCGTCAGAATCGTGATTCGGCAGGTCTCGTTGTGGGTGTCTGAACGGCCGAGGTCGAGATGGGGATTGTTATGGTCTACGCGAGCTGGAGGATCCGAAAGTAAACAAAAGGATGCAGAGGCGAGATGAACGTGGCGGATGGCGAAGGCGAATGCTCAAGTAGACGAAGTACTGAAGATGAAGGAGAGCTGGAGGTTGGAAATTACAGAAGCAGCAAGAGGCAGGCCAGTTGATCAGGAGCAGGCGAAGCTTTGGATGCAGTCTTACCACGAATGTTGGGACGCGGGTCTCATCGCGTCTGCGGGCCCTGTCTGAAGGCTCACCCACGGTCTATCGCGCCTGGCGTCTGGTCGTGTGGAGTGTGAATTCCTACGCGACCTCGGATAGGTCTAGCGCGTGTGCACGGTCCATACGAGAAGCCGCAGCGTCATGTCAAGTGCAACCCGCCGCCGAGAAGCCTTCTCTCGCTATCGCATCTCTTATCGCCCCGCATCTGCAGAACCCCACCAGAATTTTCAGATCCCTGAGATCTTCACCGTCCATCTCAACTCATCGAGGACGCCCTAACGACTTGCGACGTCGACGGAGCTTGCGATTTACATGAAACTGTCAACCAACCTTCTCACATACGATCACTTGGTTCAATATCTCCCTTGACGTCATGGCGAAGACTCTTGAGAAAACCCGCAAGCAGATTGCGAAGAAGCGCAACGGCACTGTAGAGGCCCTCCATCTGTATTCACGAGACTCCAAGCGCCTCCACCGTGCTTCAGTGAGAGATGAGAAGCTTGGAAAGCTGGCCTCGTCAAGAGGCAAGAAGGAACAGCCGCTTCGTAAGCAATTTCAGTGGCACATTTGGACAAGTTCGCGGCTGATCAGAAACCTTGTGTCCAGTCGACCGTGCCAACTTCTTCAGGGATGCCGTCGTGGAAAGGGGTACCAAGCCTCTAGAGATGGGTGTCGTCCAGGAGCTAATCAACTCGTATGTCACTCCCAGCCACTGCTAGCTGAGAATGCTTCGATTCTGTTTGGCCATGTTCCTTTCTAACGACCTTCAGGTTTGTTCACCAGCATGATGAGGAGCACAGTGAGGTCAAGAAAACTCGCCGCCCCGGTCGCCCAGCCAGCGCCCGACAAGACCTCCTCGAGGCAAAGATCAAGAAGCTTTTGGAAGAACAGAAGAACGGCTTCTGTGAGTGATTCAGCAAGAGCAGTTATACTCCGTTGTTGGCTAATTCTTTCTCAGTCATGCCTGATCTCACAAGCGACGACAACGTTCATTTGTTGGACCGTTGGGAGGGCTCCTGGGCTTACCTCACATCCGTTGCCTGGGTTCGCGTGGCCTCTGACAAGAAAGTCAAGCCTGCAAGCTTCCCTCCCATGTGATGATGACGTGGCAATTCATCGGCAGAGCTCATGCATTTAGCGATCGGCGTTATGGTTTTCTGCTTTTTCAATGACGAGATACTTACCTTTGGCTCACACTCTCGACTCAAGGGGTGGTTTCTCGTCGGCTCTTTCAGCTTGCATGCTCTGTGTTTTGGCGAACCGCAAGTGGCGTTTGGACTTCGGGAGTCCAGGCCCCGGCACGGGTCGAGCGTCGACGGCCAGACCTTTCGGCTACGTGCCGCTACCTCGCATCCTCGGCGGCAGGGCTAGGCAACGAAGCAGGCCGACATCCTTTGTTGGTCCACTGGATTCCTTGCCCCTCAGCCATGTCTTTCGGTCGAGTTACACCAATTGATGATATAATAGATCGCCTGGTATAGCTTCGTCGCGTCGTCTTTTGTGGCTGTCCCAGAAGCTTACTGCTCACGGCTGGCTACACCTCATCTTCCAACTTCATCGGATCAAATTGATCCCAAGGGTTAAGCCAAGATCCCAAATGACGAGACGAACCCTTCTATCGTACCCGAGACATCTGGCCATCTCACCCGTCTCTCCGCCCAGCGGCCACCCCTGAGATGCCATGCCTGTATCACCTACCCCGTCCGTGGCTTCACGCCGCTCGCCGTCCATCCCATCTGTGAACCCCTTTAACAGTGCCCGCTTGTAGCTGCAAGCAGGCACCCATACGACCCGGCCACGTGTGGTGTTTTCTTAACCTCGATCTGCCCAAGATGACGGAGCTGGCGTCTCGGGCTGCCAGCCGGTCAACCAGCCTGTCTTGCAATAAGTACCTCCTTGTCGCATACTTAAACCGAGCGCATCTCCAGCCCGGGAATCAGAGTGCTACATCACACAGCTAGGGGCCCGAATCCTCCTCCAACCCCGGCCTCAGGTTGACGCGGATACACACCTCAGCGTTGCTGTTAGTGGGGTTCCTCTGCTTCTTCATCGGCGTCAAGTGTCGTGCAATCAGGTTTGATGCGCTGTTTTGTCTAAATCTCCAAGGAGAGAGAAAGAGGGGTCAAGGCCTCTTGGTGAATATCTCTCGCCACCACATTCGTCGAATTCTGGTTCGTCAGCATGAAGATAGGAGCCTCTCCAGTGATCATTTGAGGTTTCCGTAAGACAGGCGGGACTGCTACACACGCAGTGTCGATCAAATATATCTGAGGGCGGATCTACACTGTCAGGCAACTGCACCCTCAAACCCCATAGCTCTCAACCCACTCGAATACCCATGATCGTCGATCCTCACTGTTCATCAATAGTCCAAATAAGTGGCCCTGAAGTATGACCCTCCAGTTCCTTGCCGGGGTGATGGAGCTTGTAGATCAAGGTCACTGACTAGCATGACAGATCATGTGCAAGTACATCACACACCTGCGAGTCTGCTACGTCTGCCATCATGAAGAGACAGTTCTCATTACCGAGAGCCCGTGCCCGCCGCTGAGGGGGAGAGGTGCGTTTGGCAGCTGCCAGACCGGGACCGGCAACAAGACAACATGCACGCCGTTCCAATGCTGGAAGTGCAAGGAGAGAGTGCATCGCATATCACAAGTCAGATCGCCGCGTCATGTATCATTGCGTTGACTTTTATAACGTGCGCCAATACAACAAACATGACCAACTGATGCTGTTCAACCTAGATGAGGTAGCGAAGGAACACCGCCCAAGCGCTGACAATGATGCTCACGAGGAGTCCGAAGGTCAGGGCAGTGAACCACCCCTTTGACGTCCTCTTCGTCAGAGGATCCAAGTCCCTGTCGACGACCAACGCCTCGGCCGCCTCCCGGCTACGGCGGGTCATTGTCATGCCCTTGCCGAGAAGCTTGTAATCGACAATGATGTATGCGATGCCCAAGACGAACGCCCATGCCTTGATGCCTATGGCGACGAGCAGGACTCTGTTGTAGCCACCACCGTCTGTTCCGTCTTGGAGAACACCAAAGACAACGTCCATCTGGCTTTTGCGTTAGCGTTGACTGTCTCTCTGTGAGCCACTCGGGAAAGACCTACGATGGTGGATCCAGAATTATTGAAGGCTCGCCAGACTCCAAAGGCTGTGCCAATCTTTGCTTGGTCTGCCACGAGGAGAGGAATGCAGATCTGCAGCGGCATCGAGTTGATGACGCCCGCCAGGCTAGAGAAGACCAGTCCCACGGTCGGGTGCGCATCGGTGAATCCCAGGACAGAGCATGCGATGATCCAAAAGACCGGGGCTGTGGCGACGTAGTGGAAGCGGTGACCGTACGCGTCGATGGCGAGACCGAGCACAGGACTGAGCACGATGGGCAGGATCTTCTGCGCCGTGGCCAAATAACCGGCCACCTCCTCTGTGTACCCCTTCGTGAAGATGATGTCTGCGGAGCTCGTGCTGAAGCCCCCAGCTGCTCACTCTGCAAGAGCTGGGTTGCCGGGAGCATGAGGTAGGCCCACGGAAGTTGGAAAAGCACGTTCCAGGAGAACCGCTTCTTGGTGTGGAGGTGTTGCTTTGAGATAGCTGCGGCGCGACCGGACGTCAAACGAAGATGCTGAGGGACGACGAATCGTTCGAAGCAGACGTAGGCGACGTTGACCAGGAGTGAGAATGCACAGAAGATTACGGGAATCCAAAATGTCCAGCCATACCAGCCGGTGCCGTCGCGAATGGGGATTGCAACCATGCCAGACACGAGACTGATGGTGTTGGCAATGGCACTCTCTAGGCCAAACGCAAACGCAAGTCCAGAGGCTCCAAACCAGTGGTAGAAAAACTATGCAGGACGTCAATGTGGGAACCGAGAGTGGGCTTGCTTGTTGAAGATGGGTATTCACCTTCTGAGTGGCCGAATCAAGGACTGCGATGCCGAAGCCCATCAAGACATGACCACCGACGAGCACCCGCCAAAGGCCAACTTGAACACCGGCAGCAGCAACAACTGATCCCACCAGGATGACGGTTGTGCAACATAGTGTCACAATGTTGGGTCCCCACCAATCAAGGATGAGGCCTCCCACAATGGGAAAGATGGTGTTGACGAAGGCATCCGCGCTGCTAAGTACACCAAACTGTGTGTTGTTGATGCCGAGTTCTTCTCGAAGAGTATTCTTCAATGGGCCGAGTGCTGAGCCGGTCCAGGTATGTCCGATGGGAAGGGAGATGACACAGACGAGGGCAATCCACCTGTAAGTCCAAGGGAACTGGGGGGCAACATTTTGACCGTCATCCTCTGCGCCGTTGACTTGGACAACAGGCTGTTTCGTCTCCTCATCGCGAAGATCGCCACGGATTTGCTGTGAAGCGACGGCGTCCATCCTGATACCTACCAGAACAACGTCGTCAGGCTATGGCTGTACCTGGGCTGCGGATGACCAGGAAGCTGATTGTCTGGAGTTGCAAGGCCTATTGTCAATTTATACTCGATCTTCAGAAGCAATACGAGCTCCGCAAGGCCTGCAAATCACGCAGGTTTCGCATTCGACATCAGCGAAAGTGATCAGATAAGATCATCTTTGGGCGGGTTTTGTTGCAGACGTCGGTGTTCTTGCCGCTCCTCATCTTATCAGATGATTCTGGATGCCTTGGCACACCAATTTACAACCAATCTTTCGTGTCGTAGTCTTAAGCTTTTTTTGACTTTGTGGATCGAATCCATCACTCGCGTCGGATGGATGCCGCTTGCATTGTGGCAGTGCTGGAATACCGCGAAAAATCCACCCGGACAACGTGCACGGGACTGAAGACCTGGATCAATACCCCTTCAGCGCATATTCCCGGACGGGCCCCGTGTTTCTATCTACGTTGGCCGTCTCACTTCGGCTGCCCAGACTTACGATCCCACCTCGGGTCCCGCCTAGAGCATCTACAACCCAACGCCAAGCTCAGCCGGCAACAAGGTGCAAATTGTTATGGTCCTATGAGGGGCAGACCATAACGCAAGTTCACGCGAGGAGGCCCATCCACGAGCCTACTACCGCCCTACGTTTAGAAGCACCCCGCTTGGGATAGAAATTTATTCCTCGCATAGAAGATCTGGTCTTGTTTCGCGGTTGAGATGCAGCTCGTGTTGAGGTTGCTGATTAATGTCTGGAAAGAGTCCAAACGTTACCTTTGTTTCGAGACCAAGAGGTTGGATGTCTGGCATCCGGAACAAGGGCTTTTATTTATTCAGCCTGAAGATTTATGACCACTTGGGAATCTAGGAGCACTCATCTGCTAGACTACTTTCAAGTTCTTGGCTGCATCATCGGCGACAAGCTCGGAATGCGCTAACTTGTTGCAGAACTGACCCGGGCGGTCTTCGAGGCGGCGCTTGCTCTGATTATGAGATAGGACCTCTGAATAGTGTACTTTATTGAGGTTAGCTACGTAAGTTAAATCAGGGTGAACCTAAAGTAATACATTTTAGTACATGGCCATTAGAGAATGCAAGTAGGGCTATTTACTTTTGGCAGCATTGATCGCTACCTTGTGTTGGTCTTGGCACAAGATTTCTGTGTGAAATCGTAGCGACTAGACTTTTGGGCTATATAAGCAAGCTGTTACAGCTCTGGTCGAGGCCGCGTGAATGACTCGATGGTCAGAGCCTCGGGCCTTCACAAACTGCACCCCTCTATCAAAATATGATGTGTGCCTTGATACTTTCTATCCAATTACTCAAATATATAGCTTAGTCTAGTACTATAAGGAGCTGGGTGACCATGATAATAGAATACATCCATCGAAGCATGATGATGCTTCGTCAGCCTTGGCTAGCATTTCTCATCCATCTTGACCCGAATGACGGGCAGCCCCAAGGAAGGCATGCACAAGGGTATTGCTGACCTATAATAATATCCAGGGAGGATACTGGGTTGGCTCTTTATGTCGCATTCGCTGTTCCTGGCATACTCCAGACACCAGGCCAGCAGAATTCGGAAATCTGCGTCGGAGCTTAACGCAAGCCTCAGGTTCAACAGGGCTAGCGCCTTCATGTTGCGTCCGCATTTGCGACTCAAGAAATTCTGCTATACTTCATTGATATGCCATATGTAAAGTAGTTTTTATTGATAGCCGCGTTCTTACTAGTGATCCGTCGCTGCAGTGAAGCTATGTGGCTAACGTGGCCAAAACAAGGACAATCGCGATTTATCGCTCGCCTCATGTTTCGAAGGCATGGCAGTTGAAGAGGCAAAGGCGCTATTGCTACCCATAACCGAAGGAGCCTTCTCGAGCACTACTTTTCCACGATAGAACATAGCAGTCATCACACATGTCTTAAGCTCAACTGCATGGACTCCAGTACCACTATGGCCTTGAATATGCGGTTACCTGTCTGAAATCTTGTAAATACCAGGAACAGCGCATGCAGTACCGTAGTCCATCAGCGCTGACCTTTGAAATCGACAGTTCGATATTGTCAGGGCTGCCCGCATGACAAATCAAACCCGAACGTCCGTCTTCGCGCGAGATCACCGTTGAAAGCGGGCTCAAAGTTAGCAAGCTCGAGACCATCCCATAGTTATGCGACAAACC